GGGTAATACGATCTGGAGATATTCCTTACTAGAAAAGTTCTGGCTTTTTTACAGTATGATAGCACTTAACACACATTTTACTGCTTGAATGCTGGGATATTAGTGTTTTGAGTGCAGTTAACGCATGCTAAGTGTAACATGCGACAAGGTCCTCGATCTGTCTTCCCATGATACCATGTCTATTAACTCCTTGAGTTGTTGAAATCTGCCTTCTTGAGATCTAGCAACTTAGTTCCACTTCCCCTGTCTCAGTATCATGAATTTGTTATATCGTGAATCCTTCCTCCCAAATTGCCCATCACCTGATTTCATAGATTTCATAGACATCAGGGCTGGAAGGGACCTCGGAAGTTCATCGAGTCCAGCCCCCCGCCCAAAGGGCAGGAAGTCAGCTGGGGTCATAGGATCCCAGCAAGATAAGCATCCAGTTTCATCTTGAAGGTGTTCAATGAAGGCGCTTGAACCACATCTGGTGGCAGGCTGTTCCAGACCTTGGGGGTTCGGACTGTAAAGAAATTCTTCCTTATGTCCAGCCTGAAATGATCTTGAAGTAGTTTGTGACCATTCGACCTCGTCATCCCTTGGGGCGCTCTGATGACGTCCCGGGATTTGCTTGAGAACCATCTATGGATGCAAGCCAGCGTTTTGGTCCTATAAGGATGCTGCGGGTTTTTTTTCCCAAGGTGGAGAATCTTGCATTTATCGGCGTTGAACACCATCAGATTCTCGTCCGCCCACTTGCTGAGCCTGTCCAGGTCAGCCTGGATCACCCGCCTGTCTTCTGGTGTGGATGCTTTGCCCCAAAGTTTGGTGTCATTGGCGAACTTGGCCAGTCCGCTTCTGACCTTTACAACCTTGACCAATTTTTCCCTTTTGCTTAGGGAACGATCCAAGATAGATGATCCCCAGGTTGTGTCCTCAGCCTTCTTGACCAGAAAGCTGTCTTCCACATGAGCTAGAACTTGCTCAACATTTTACCTTTGGCTATACTGCTCTTCCAGCAGATGTCTGGAAAACTGAACTCTCCCATCAGTACCATTTTGGATACTTTTGGCATCTCCCTGAAGAGTGTTGTATCCACTTGTTCTTCCTGATTCGGTGGCTGATAACTAAGGATCTACCTAATTCGCAGGGGCTGCACCCTGATTTGGAAGGGAGAACACGGACACAGGCAGCCATTTTGTGGGTGGAGCATGGCAGCCCCCCCCCCCCCCACACACACACACACACATACCTCTAGCCAAGGTGCTCCGGTGGCCCCGTGCCTTGCCAGTGATTTGGCTGTGGGGGCTGCCAATCATCTCTCCTTCACCGATGATTGGCTGCCAGAGCTGTCCATCATGTAGCCCCGCCTCTCACTGCTGATTGTGGAGAGGGATGTGGGCACATGGCAGGCAGCCCTCACAGCCAATCAGAGGTGGAGGGCCGGGGCAGCCGTTTTGTCTGCAGCCCTTCGAGCAGGCAGCCTCCACTTCCCTGCCCGACTAGGCTGCGACAGCACGCTGAGGACTGCCGGCTCCCTCTAAGGAGCCAGCATTTTCTTTTCCATAAGCTTCCCCCCACCCCATGGATTTTGCAGGCATTGCCCAGATTTCGCAAGATCTGTGAAATCATGAATATGGTAGGTCCCTACCTATAATAAGTCACTGTTATATCAGTACTGTATCTTTCACATTTTATCTTTACCCAAATACCTTCTGATCTGCTACCTTCTTCCTCCTGAACCAGGAAACAAGTGCATGCATTTTTCTAAATACAAGGCGGCACCACTACCCTTTCTCCCAACCCTGTCCTTCCAAAACAAAGTGTAGCCCTCAATGGTGAGGTTCAGTCAGTAAGAGCTGTCCCACCAGGTTTCTATGATACTAGTTAAGTCTTCGCTTTTTTCACAGACTGTGACTTCCAGCTCATCCTGTTTGTCCCCCATACTTCTTGCATTTGTATGCATACATTTTGACATATTTTGCATTCTGACCTACTTGTTTTACTTGTGCATCACTTGTTGCTGTCCTGTGGCTCTCTAGCCCCTTCCCAGAATTGAGCTGCTTCTTCAAGTCCTTCCCCCTCTGAATTATTTGCTCTCTTCCTGGAGGGTTTTGTTCACCGTCCCACATGGAACCTAGTTTAAAGCCCACCTTACCGGGTTGACCAGACAACACCCAAAGATGCTCTTTCCCATTCTGATTAGATGGATCCCATCTTTTGATAGCAGTCCTCCTTCTCAGAATGTCTGCCCATTGTCGAAGAAGCCAAAGCCTTCATGTCAACACCACTGTCTCAGCCATGCATTTACTTCCATAAGTCAGTGGTCCCAGCCTGGGCCCCTGCCTTCCACTAGGAGAAATGAGGAAAACACTCCTTGTGCACCAAGCTCCTTAATCCTCCTTCCAAGAGCCTTGTAGTTTCCTTGTATCTGCTTAGCATCATTCCTAGCAATATCACTGGTACATACATGAGCAAACAGGAAAGGGTGGTGGTTTGAGGAGTGCATGGGCTTTGGAAGTATTTCTGTACATCCTGAATATGGGCTTCAGACCTCCCAGGACACCTCCCAGGACCCCAAATCCAGACAGCCATTTGGTGCATCTGTCCCCAGCAGAAGGGCGTCTCCAATCAGCACCACTTTTCTCTTCCTTCTTGATATCATGGTCTTGGAGCCCCAATCCCGGGGGCTCTGAATTTCCTGCTCTCTAGGCTGCTGGCTCCTCTGCTTCTTGCCTTCTGATGTCCTCACCTCTGCCTTTTCCTCAGCTGTTGCACCACAGAGTGCTTGAATGTGGTTGTTGCCTTCAGTCTGTTCCTCTTGAATTCTTGGGGACCCTTCTTATAGTGGTCACATGCTGCCACTTCTCTTTTTTTCCCTTTAGTCTTCCCAGCATCAGTCTCTTAGGACTCCTATCCAAGAAGTCTTCATTTTCCTTGATAGCATGTGGTGTGGATTCCTGTGCTTCCAACCCTTGAATCTTTTCCATCAAGAGACACCAGCTTAGACTTAGTACAAAGGAAATGTTCTTGACCGTCTGGGAGGAACACAAGCATGTCACATCCCATACTTGCACTCTAATATTTTAGTAAGTGTCATCAGTGTTGGACTTTACTTGCACATTTTCAAAATTGTTGGACCTTGCTATGTGTAAGACAAAAAACCTCTCACACCCAAATTTGAAACGCAGAAGTTTGAGAATTTGGGATGCCAAGGTGAGGTTTATAAAATGATTTCCTGGGAAAGAACAGAAAGGAGGGATGTCTCTTGATTATTTCCTTAGCCTAGAATTTGGGTGGCTTGGATTTAAGTCCTTGCTCTGCCATGGGCTGCTTTCTGTGTGACTTTAGATGATTTGACATTAAGGGTCAAATCCAAGAAAGGACTTGGGAAGAATTTAGGCACCAGACTCCAAAATTGCAATTGAGAGGACCCTTAGAAGTGCCTAAACCCACTGGAACCCTACAGTAAAGAATTGAAATTACCCAGCATCTAAAGTCCTGCTTCTGTATATCCCAGGATTACCCTCATTCTGACAAGACTGAGCAGTGCAGCTCTTAGTTCATGTCTGCCCCTGATTCCTAGGGGCTAAATCCTGTCCTTCTTACATGGCTAATGATACATACATAGCCACATACCTGCAGGTTTTGGCACATACACGTTTTCACCACAGAAGAGAACAGAATTACACTGCATGTGTACCTGCCAGAGGGAACAGCACTGGGCAGCTAGGAGAGGCAGATACGTGGGACCAGGAGGAAGAGAACATGTAAAGGAGGGTGTGGGTCAGTGAAATGAATGTTGCCCTAGCATTCATCCTAATAGTGGACTGCTTTTTTTTTTATCCTGAGCCCTTGCTCCTAATACGGCAGCGACTGTTCTCCATCCATTTATTTGATGAATATTAGATGCACAGTGCAGTAGACAAGCTTCAAAAAGAGGGGGCTGGGAAAGGATCTGGGCAATGCCTACCTGGTGGTTACAACACTGTGCTGGGAAGCAGGGCTAAGCCCTCACTTGGGGACCTAGAACCTGGGCCTCTTCCTTCCTAGGGCATTGATGTAACTACTAGACCAGGGGTGGCCAGAGTTACTTACCCTAGGAGCCACATCCGATCCTCCACCAAAACCGGAGAGCAGGGGGAAGGGGTGTGCTGAGCCACCCAGAGTGAAGGAGAGCATCCCACCACCACCTGCACCGCTCTGGCTTTCCCTGCAGGGAACGCGCCCCAGGGTAAGCAGTGTGACTGCAGCCCCCGGCAGCCTGGTGTCCCCCAGAGCCATCTTGGGGAGAAGTGGGTGGGCCCCCGAGAGCTGCAAGTACTGTGCCGGTGAGCCATGGTTTGGCCACTGTGGCACTAGACTAACATATGAGAAAGTCCGTCTCCTCTGTCTAACACCAGCTAGTCATGGGTTTTGCCTGACTAAATGTCTGGACTTTTTGCACAGGCTTACTTACATCCCTCGGCATACTGAGGAGGCTAGGACGGGCAATGCTGAATCACAAGCTATACATAAGCGCCAAGAGCTGCAGTTGTGCATTTAGGCTCCAAAAGCGAGATAGGATTTAGCCTCAAGTGTTCCTCTGCCAATGCCTCCTGTCAGGTTTAGTAGATGTTCTCCAAGCGCCCCAACAGACACCAACAGGATTAGGCTGCATACAGGATTCAAGGGCTTTTGCCACTTTCAAAGCTAGCTGTAAGTGAAGGTGATACTGCCTCTGTTCAGTACAGTCCCCTGGAGATCAGAGCGGTTTCCCGGGATGTGATGTCAGCCTAACTGGGCATTTGCTATTAGATTGAGTCATTGGGAAACTATTTCTTGACAAAAGGAGCAAACACTAACCAGATACTGGTAAGAAGGTTACAGCCTCTCGTTGTGGGAGAGTGGTAGAACGGAGTTTATGATTTTAATAATGATGATTTACCAAGATGTATCACGATTCCCAGTTTTGCTTTCCCCTCACCTCCACCACCACCTTTTTCAAATGAATGTTTTATCTCTGCTTTGATTTGTAGCTGATATTTTATTACGGGACTGCAGATGGCTGGTGTCCACAACAGTATTACGAGGAGATCAAGATGGATTTCCCCGACGGGGATATTCGGCTCTGCGAGAGAGGCTTCCGGCACGCTTTCGTCCTAGATGCCAGCAAAGAGATGGCTGCCATGATTACACACTGGCTACAAGATGACCTGACCAAACTATAAACATTGCTTCAGTGAATAACCACACAAAAGATGTAACTATTTTGTGAATGTGTAATTTCTTTGTGAAAGAGTCTGTCCCTAACTACTCCATTTGTTACAGGTTATGGCTTGTTTTCTACTGACATGTTTTCGAGAAGGTAAAATGTGACAACTGGGTGGTCTAAAGAATAGTGTCAGGCTTATGATATTGGGCTCCCAGGCTGTGGCTTCAGGGCTTTGTAATGTGTGGAGTACTCAGCTGACACAAGCGTATGCAACATTGGTATTAGAGTCAATGGGGCCATGTTTATGCCACTTCCCTCTCAGGCCATGTCCCCCACCAAGAAAAAAACACTCCTTCTCTGTTGTTCACACCTAGCAGTTAGGCAGTGCAAAAGTCTTGCAGCGTCCTTTTGCCACCACAAGTGAGAGAGTATAGACGTCGCCTACGGTAGTGGTTTTGAACCTTTTTAGACTCAAGACCTCTTCCATAACTTTTCAAAAATTTAGTGGCACCTATTTCTTGCAGTGCTTACTTTCTTATACCCCACTGTACCCTTAAAAAGATTTCATGGAGTGGCAGGGCAGGCAGCAGCAGGCAGGGCACCCCTGAGAGTCTGGGGAGGGGTGCAGCATGCTTAGAGCTGACAGGGGCTGCTAGGCATTGCAGCTGCAGAGGTCAGTGCCAAGTGAGGGCAGCAGAGATAGGACCCTGTTGTGCCCTGCTCTTTACACCATCTGCCCCCTCTCTGCCCCTGCTCTGTATTTGAGGGAATGAGCACAGCCCTTGCCACCAAACCTGCTTCTCCGGGGACTTGAATGTCAGTGACCAGACCCACATTCTCCACAGCCCCTCCCACCAGCTCCAGAAGCATGGGAGGAGCAGCAAAATGAGTCAGTCTGAAAAAGAACAGTCCTGTGTCCATCCATCTGTGGCAGATCCCACCGTTTCAAACACAGGAGTGGTTGGCCAGTGGGTAGGGACTGCACTTTTCAGCTCAGCTCTCCCCTACTCCTCCCATGGTCCTGGAGCTGGTAGGAGAGGCTCTGGGAAATGGCACTGGGACCCCAGGATGTGCAGGGTGCCCAGCACATGGAGGTGCCAGCACTTATCTCCTCTCACAGGGGTGGGTGCTGCAGGACCCTTCAAAGGATCTTCTAGACCCCCAGGGTGCTACCGAACCCCAGTTGAGAATCACTGGCCTACACCTTCTGTCAGGATACATCTGGTATGCATAAGGAGATACAGATTCAAAATAATAGCAGGGAACGTAAAGACCCAAGCAAAAGAGTATGTCTCAAGTTTATAACTAACTATATTTATCCACTTATGTAAGCTGCTTGCTCTCAACAATACCTTGACCTTACTGAAGTTAGCGGGAATTTCAGGTGTTCAACCAGTTTGAAAAACCAAGCCACATGTATTATGTGCCTAAATGTGAAGCCAGATCCATAACTCCAGGTACTTAAGACTTTTGTCCCAAAGGCCCAAGTTACACAAATTCACAGTCAGAAAAGGGCCAGTGTTTCTGTCACAGTTGCTGTGCCTGATGAACCCCCTCAGAATATTTTAGGACCACGTTCTCAGCTGCCATCAATAAGCAGAGCTTCATCAAAGTCTTTGACTGACCAAGGCTCTGGTCCTTGCTCTAGTTCATTCCTAAGGATACTCTCTTTCTTCAACATGCATGACCTTCCTTCTTTTATTTTAATTCAATAGAGACTGTAAACAGAAAATACAGAAAGAAATCTCCAAATATTTGTGATGAAACAGAATCGTGACTTAAAGCTGAGAATTAAGCCAATGTAAGCACTGGGAGCAGAAATTACCAGAAGAGACAAGTGGAATCAGGAAAGACTTCATATTAGTGAGACTCTGAAATAGTATCCTGAAAGAAAAGGTATAAAACCAGTGGCAGAAGGCATTTATACAAAGACATAGCACTACATGAATGATACAAGATGTTTGCTGTTATGGCAAAGAGATGGGTTACATGACCTGCTGGGTCTTTTCCATCTCTAACTTGTATGATTCATTAAGAAGGTAAATAAGTCACTACAGAGAAGGGTACTGGGGAAGGTACTGTATGATTTGGGAAGACAGATTGGAAGAGGTTTCTTGTTTTTCCCCCTTTGTATGAGTACACAAAGACACTTCTCACCATTTCTGGTTCCCCATAACCTCAGCATGCTGTTTCTAGATACTTTTGGACTTGCCTTCAGAGCTGCAGATGTACAGTAGGTTTAAATGACCTTTTCCTGCAACACTAGCAGCTTAGCTGTTGAAACGGACAAACGCATTTCCAGATGACGCCGGCATTTAGTGAAACAGAAGATGATGCTCAAGTGGATGTTTTAAGAAGTCAGTAGCAGCAGTGTGGGGAGTATCAGCATAAGCTGAATATATGTGAAGCCATTTTTGCAGACTGCCCTATGATTTTAGCTCACGTTTACAGCAAGCTCAGAGGCTGCCTTCCCTCTGCACAGCTATAATCACGAGAATTTCTTTTGTTACCTAATACGGGCGAGGAAACAAAAATTCGCAATGCCAGTTTTGAACTCCAAAGCCATCTCTGTTCAAACAGCCCCTAGGTGATGCACAGTTATTTTGGATATTCTTTTTATTGCAGCAGTTGACCCCATTTGCCGGCATGGGCATGTAGGGTCCACGATATATGTGTGTTTGAAACACAGCAGATGGTTCAAACGGTTGTTGTGTACTTACTCATTGATATGACTGAATAAACGTTTGTTTCTTGGAGTATATGGGATCAAATGATCAGTCTGTAAAAATTCAGCTCTTCTAGATGGGCCTCCAAGAGATGGGATACATTTGTAGTGACTGGAGAATACAAGCTACTGTTAGGTCTGGGTACTGAAAGCCAATGGTAAACTCTTGTTCAAGGTGTATGAGTCATAGACGTTATATGGGGAACTTGCTTAATGCATGGACTCAGGCTGTGTATTCCTTTTTACATTTTGCCCTGTTAATCTATTTCAGTACATTCCTCTGATTGCCATAAGACAACCAGAGGGCAGAATTGGTTAAGAACAGTCAGATTTGCTTGTTGCTATTCCCTTATGCCTTTATTAGATGTTTTTCCTGTGACATTAATGAGAACGTTGTGACACAATTAATTCCTTCCTCGTAGGAGCTGGTACCCCTTGGCTGAGATCTGAACGGTCCCCATTGTGCTCAGCGCTAAAAGGCCTGGGCCTGGGTTTCAGAAGTTCTGTGAAAGGCCATGAGAACTGCAGGCCTTCAACAGCCCTGAAACCAAACTGATTGAGCTTTGCTGAGGGATTTGGCCAGCAATGTGAGGAACACTGTTCTTGTCATACAGGTGACTTTCCAGTGCCTCTGCTGAAAGCAAGGACCTTGCAGGGAGAAAATCCAACTCTTCTGGTGCTAAGGGGTTAACAAGGATCTGAGTCCAAAAAAAGTCTGAGAAGAGTGCATGGGCCAAACGTGATGCTTCCTTTAAGCAGACAGAAAAATCCTTGTTTCTCAATACGACTGGGAGTCCCTCCGCAAATGAATTTGTGTTGTTACAACCTGATCTACTCAAGCACTTGTGTACGTGTGTACTTTAAGCGTCTGAGTACTTCTATTCACTTCAATGGCACTTCTGCTCATGCTTGGGTCAACGTGTTTTAAGAAAGTGAGCAAATACTATAAGAGAAATAAAAACATTTATTGAAAAATGGCCTTTGTTCCTTCAGTTTGCCAACAGTTATTTTGCATTGATTATCGTACTTCATAACCTGGTAGGTGCAAAACGTTCAAAAATATCTACAGGGCTTTAGAGTCTAGGGCCAAACTTTCCAAAGGGGTGAAAGACTCTTCAGAGCCTTGGTCTCAGAAAGTCAGTAAGATTTTAGTTCCCAAATCACGTGGGCATCTAGGAAAGTTTTGATTGTTATCTGTTTAGGGAGAATAATAAGTGCTCCCCACATCTCACTTGAATTAATCCTATGCGGCCAATACTCACTCTTTTCATGAGTTGCCAGGTGTGTGGATCAGGGAGGTTTGACTGCACAGCAGAAGTTTGTCTTACGTATGCAGTGTTTATGGCAGAGATTTATATGGGGACCTAGAGCAAACAGGGATTTCTTAAGCCGTGGAAGGCCAGATAAACACATGCATGCACATGTGCAACAGATAAACTGTTCCCGGCAGTGGATCACATTTACCTATGTAATTCTGCAGGAAATACATCGGTATTTTCATCCTTTATCACCCAGCCACAAGCTCTGGCTCACCTACAAACCAGCATTTTGAATGAGAAACAAAAGACACGTTTTGCTGTTAGCACAGTTGCTCAGAAAATTACTGGATTTGTGTAAACCTGCTCAACCCAAGAGACAAGTCGCTTTACTTTGTCTCCCAGGTCACGCTCAAACTCACAATCACAGTGAGTGTCTGAGCCCCTCTCCTCACAGCAAAACAGTCTCTTTTTTGGAGCTTAGACAACGTAAGAATCCAGGGAGTGTTTGCGAGTGACCAGGCACCATTAAGCAGTATAGTATTGCTGGAGCGCCTGATGGGATTTTAGTAAAAGCAAGAGCCGTAACAGAAATAATATAAACCAGTTGCCAGAAGTGATTGTTGCTCTAGGCAGCATCATGTGGAAGTTATGAAACAGGACAACGCACATGCACAAGTGGGACAGGGGTGGGAAAAGCCACTGCCGCCGCCTTGAAAAAGACATAATTAGAGGCTATTTTCAAGTGTTCCAGCTGATGATAAGTGGACCTATTTTTTCCATTTCTCACGTGTTGCACAAAAGTACTTGCGGAACAGTAATTGTGCTGTGGTTTCCTAACAGCTTGCAGAAGTTAATACATGTAGGCTGTTGTTTAAAATACATGACTAGTGCCTGTCTCAATATATAGTTTGTCAGTCGGATTCTTGATGGAAAGCTTTTTGTTTTCCTTTTTTAATGTAATTGTCAGTTGGGGAATGTCCTTTATTTTCCCTGTTCACTGAGATCCCAGTTGCCTCCCCTTCAAGCCCCAAAGCTCTCCAACCCCACTTACATGTCCCAATCCTTGCAAAAATCCTTTGGTATGCAGACCACGTGGAATGGAATAGCGCTCACTTTCCTTTCCGCTAATAGAAATCTTTAAAATTTGCCAGCACTGCAGTTGCACCAGTTAAACTTGGTCAGAGTAGGAACAGTGTTTCCAGTCTGGCCTTAATTTGGGCTTTGTTGCATAAATGTTAATTCCATCTATTGTTTTTCACATGGGATTCTTGAGAGCCAGTTCTTGCCACTCATAAGGATCTAGGAAAGCAGGTGGACTCCACACACAAGAGGAGACTGTACCTTTAAAGTTTTATATGAAGATATTGGTTTAACACAAAATAATATCCTTTTAAAAACTATCGACATGGACTGTGTTTACTGGAATCCAATACAAGATTTTTCCCCTTATTTAATGGAGGGGGGTGGGGGGAGCCTGATCTTGGATTCAAGTACAAGGCAGCAGGGGAGACAAGTAGCTGCTGCAGCTCCAGCCCTGACACTGACCCAGGGTAAGGGCTGGAGCCACAGATACTGCCTACTCCCCACCCTGCTGCTTCTCTGCTGCTTTTGCCCCCCACTCTCCCAGCACTTATCCTTGCTCCAGCAGGCTGCAGCCCAGGGCACGGAGCACATTTGTTCTGGTCCCAGCCCAGCCTGGTAACAGCTGTTGTGACGGCAGCAGCTCTGGTCACACCCCACTGGTCCTGGAGGGGGCTCGACTCAAGGCACCCCTTGCAAAATGCCAACTCTTCATTTTCACTTGTTTTTTGACTACAGGAAAAATAATAAAGCAATTCTTCTGTTGCAAAGAACCCAAAAAGACCACAACAGACGAGAATGTTGTAACCCAATGAATTCCTATTTGAAATCTCTGGGTTTATCCTGTGAATCTTGTTTGCACACCTAACAGTGCTAATATTGTGAAGTACCCTGTGACACGCTTGAAGGGACGTCAAGGCAACCCAGGGAGCCACAACCCCCTGGGTAAGAATCACTGTTATAGACTCTAAATAAGAGATGTATAGCATATGCTTTTGCTAGCAGAGGGCTTAGCAATAAAGGCTCTTTGTTTGTGAAAGCTTATGCTCTACATCTCCGATTTAGTTAGTCTATAAAGTGCAAATCTACCCTGCCTTCTGCCTGACTTTGGACTCACATGGCTAAATACGGCTCACTCCTATATTCAAATCGTTCTCTCCATTTGATACACAGCTCCATGCATGTCCTTTCGCAGCATCTGATGAAGTGAGCTCAAGCTTATGCTATACATCTCTGTTTTAGTCTGTAAGGTGCAAATCTACCCTGCCTTCTACAACGATAAACCATGTAGACGGGCCGGACGCACATTCTTCCAAATTTTTTCCCTTGTTCATTTGAAGATCAAAATTCTATCAGTATTTTCAAATTTTTAAAATTACAGCCAGTTCTGCCAAGCACACATCTTTGTGACATGGATATTGCAGGCACTGCCTGGGCAAGATGCATTGTAGAGCTGTGCACTGGATTCATTTATCTGTCACATTGCACTGCATCGCCTACACTTGGCGGAAAAGGGAAATCAGCCCTAACGAAATCAGCCCTCTTTTTCCCCTCCTTACTTTGCCGGGGCAGGTGATAGCCAAACTGGCCCAGTGCTGTGTCACTTAACTTTGAGTCAATGGGACTGTGTAAACCTGCGCTAGTGATGGATGTTCAGAAACCAACACGCTCTGTTTTTCAATCCAAAAAAATGTGCACATCTTTAAAAGAAATATCTTGGGGGGGAAAAAAAAAGATATCAATAAAATATTTAATAAACTTATCTGTACAAAATATTAAAAAGGTTAATGGAGAGTATACAGGAATGCTTATTTAACAAATATATACTGCTATATAATATATTCAAGAAAATATAGATTGCTGTGTACAGTTCATTTACAATTCCATATGTACAATCTATTTAAACTTTAGAATACATACACACAATGCATTTACACCATCACTTACAGAGCTGTCTTCTTTAGAAACATTTCACACAGTCAGACCTGGACAAGCTGAACAAAATAAATGTATAGTTTAGAGGTACAGACAAAGACAGGAGGTAAGTTATTGTTTTAAGAAATGGATTATATGGGTTAAACTGGAACAATGAACCCTTTGTTGATTTTTTTTTGGTCTTTTCCTTTCTAAAACATATAAATAAAACCATGGCTGATCAGCAGAGATCCTCATATTGCTGAAGGAACTCCAAATAGAGTTGTTCAGTCTTAGGAGGAGGCAAGCATAAGAACAGCAGGTTCAGTAATGCAGCAGGCTGGATGAACAAATTGTATTAGGATCATTAGAAATACGGACCAGAGAAACCAGTGTGTTCTGCAAAAAGATGCATCAAGTTCTTATTAACAAATAACCCCCATAGAATTTCAAAATTTCAGCATCTGTGTCTTGAATCTCTAGTTAGCCATCTAAGCAAAAGGGACTGATTCGCAAAGGCACTGAGCCTTCACAGCTTTGACCAAAGGGAATAGGACTTCTGGTTGCTCAACACTTCTAAAAATCACATCAATCGCACTAGGTGCCATTTAAAAGTCCAAGTGGTACTACCTGACTTGCAGTAAAATACCAAAACGGTGTGAATTATAACCAAATCTCATTGTATATGTGCCAGTGTGCAAGTGACACCATATTTCAGATCAATGTGTTCGTGTTAAGTCCGCTGCAGTTGACTGAATCACCCATTGAAATCGACTTTCCAAAATAAAACGTTCCACCCACAAACCTGCACAGAAATAACGAATTTGGTTCTAGTGAAATCAATCCAGTTAAATTGGGACTAGTACGGGATCAAACTGGCCATACATGTCGTCTTGAAAATGTTGGACTTAAAACCTCGACGTGGCTTTGCCATCATATTGAGTCATTTTCACCCATACTCTGATCCTTATCATTCTTACATGGGTGTAAATCATTGGCTTTGCTACTGAAGGGACTGACGTTGCTCCAGAATAAAGTGGCGTAAGATCAGAAGCAAGCTCTTTGCCTGACTCAGCAAAGCATTTCAGCATGTGTTGAATATTAAGTCTGTGCTCCCCATCTTGGAAACCTGGCCTGCCAAAATACAAAAATGCCTAGGAAGAGGTGATGGTGAAAGGCAAGGAACAAATTCAAGATGCTGACTGTAACCTGCCATTCATTAAAGGTGTTACCAAGATGAGATTAAGGCTTGGTTTAAAAGATTCAAAAACAATCTATTAAAAATATCTAGATGTGTGACACTATTTCTAAGCTGTTCTATCTGGTCCTCACATAAGTATAATTACATACAGCAAGCCTGAATGAGATCTCCTTTGCATCAATGAAAGTCCGGCCTAGCTCCAAGAAAATAAAGTTACAGTACTGTAAAACTAGAGTCAGTGTCAGCAAGGGGAAAATTAGCCTCAGTACCTAGGAATAGTCTTTATAAGGCTGCAAATATACACTCAGAGATAGATATAAGGCTAGGGCCTTTTTAAAGTCCAAAACCCTTACAGAAAAGGCAGGATGGCATACATACAACATTGCTATTGCTGCCAAAGTATTTGGTAAGGCACAATATTATAAATAGGTATTGAAGACTGAATACAGATTGTCATAGAAGACATAAACCCACTCTCATGACGGTATAGAGTAACAC